TCTTCATATGGGCTGCAAAACAGAGCTTTGAGCTCCACACAAATTACCAGCCTAGGCAAAACTTGGATTGGAATTCCACTCCAAATTTCCCCTTTCACAAATTTTCAACCCCCCCTAAAATACATGGGTTGAAGAAGAATTTTAGGCTCAAAACTAAAAACTTGGTTGAAGATGGTCCAAGAGCTTATGTCTAAAACCCAACCAAATCCCACACAAACTGTTGGTTTCTACTAACTTCCATAATTCCTTATTCAAGCTGGCTTTTCTTAATTTGAGCAAGGATTGATAGGTAGCTACTCCCTAATAGCCAAGCTATACTCTTGTTGTCACTATGCCATCAAGTGGAACTATATTATCAGAAAAATGAGGCTGAAAACAACAAATACTCAATCTCTCAAACAAGTTTTAACTTGGTCTCAAGTTTCTCAATAGCATTTTTGCTTTCATGTTCTGATTTCCAATTGAAAACTCATGAGAAATCTCTTTTTATTTGCTATGCCTTCATCCATCCTTCGATGGTAAGATTTTCAATTTCACGCAGTTCGATTTCTTTTTCTTATGTTGTCTTTCAGTCGAATCGGACTCATTTTTCTTTCTTCAGCGTGTAATGCCCATTCAGACACAATTTTATGAATAATACAAGTTATCTTTTCAATATGCTTCCTCTTTATTGTTATGTTTATTCGAGTTCTACATCGCACAAGCGAGATATTTAAGTCCTTAATCAAGCAAAGCATAGAAAAGAACCAATTCATACCAATCCCCACTTGGAGCACAATGGCTTGCTTAGAAGTCAAGATTTCTTATGATACAAGATATTCACGTTAACATCAAGGCCGATCCACTTTTTCCTTGTCTTGTTACGAAATCTCAAAATCTTCTCACACTATCCAAAAATAAAAATAAAAGAACCTACCTCCCACAAACATATATCCCATTGGATTTCATGCTCTGACTTATATAAATCTTGAAATTTTCAGGCCCAGGCTCAACCAATATTTATATTAATTCGAAGCCCAAGAACATATACACTTTGAAGTAGCCCTAGAAATTTTCAGTTGAACACAAGATGTAAAATACCAATGGTGATTGATCTATTAAAATAATAATAATTAAAATAAAATAAAAGAATGGTGTGCAAATACATAGATGCCTAGGCACCAGCTGATGCAAACACATCAGATTCTATCTAATTGCCAACTTGTCATTATATGAATGTCTCTGTTTGCCCCAAAGTTTCATTCACATTTTATCCATTTTTCAAAATCCAAAATGGGAAGTCTTCCTGGGCCCCAAACATTACCAAAAACCTAATCCATAGAGAATCTTACCTTCTTTGAGATAAGGTTAGAAGCTTTCCTAATTATCAATTTAACAAAAATAATATTTTCTTTGTCTTTTTTTTTTTTCTCGATATCTCAATTGTATAAAAGTATGTAAGAGATGTACACGTGTTTGGTTCTAGTGTATCTCCTTCCTTTCATGCTTTAAGGTACTGAATGGTTCATGAGAAAGGATGCTTGGAAATGAGAAATCAATTGATTTCTCATATTTGATAAGTCCAAGCATGGCTGCATGGGAAATGGATGCTTGTCACATAGGAAAGTATGAGAGAAAGTGAAACCCTTTTTCCTCTTTAGGTTTTGTTTTCCCTTCTCATGAGAAAGTTTGGGAAAATGAGCGCATATTTTTCATGACTATTTTGTCCCCATTAACAATTTAGAATTACAATATATATCATTTAATGCATTTTTTTTAATTTGATTTAATATGAATATAATTAGAAAATTATACAAACTTTGTTTTTCATTCTTATTCAAAACAAACATGAGAGATGAAATAAAGTGATATCTCCTAGTTACTTTCCCAGCATTACTAAACATGAGAAATGAACTATTGAGAAATGACATAGGAAGTAATTTCTTCTCAAATCCGTTCCTATCTGAATACTTCTTGCATAATTCACTCTTGAAATATAATAAAAGCTTCAATTATTGGACTGTCGTTTTCTTAAAATAAGAACATCTTTAACATAAAAATAATAAATAAATAAAACTCAAATAAAGAAAATATATAACTATGAGAATTCAATGCATGCTTAATTTAATAGCATTTGCTTTCCTCTGATGCCACTCACCAACTCTTTATGTATTGGTGGCAGATGTATGGTGAGAAAGCTGTGTTTCCAGCAGCCTCTGAGGACCCATACATTCGTTGTATTTGTGCCTGTGCCATCTGCCACGCCTCGCTCTCTTTTTCCATAGATTTTTCTTCTAAGTACATCAGACACGTCATACCACTGCCTTCCATTACATTAGATTGCCTTCTTTCTTCTTTCCTTCTTTTATTGAGCAAATCTATTGAATTGTATTAAGGTCAACTTTTGTTGGGTGTGCTTTCAATCTTCACACTTACAATTGCTATCCTTGCAGATCTGTAGTGGTCTAATAGATTCTCACGGGAGATTCACTATTATTATATCTAATATAAGAGTCCAAATTATAAAAAAAAAATTCTTATATGAAATGGACTTTAGAAACACACGTAAAACTCATTTACAACATAACAAAATTTTTTTTAACTTCTTTTAAATTACAAAACTACTATTGATTTCTTAAAACAAACTCAACTCCAAAACTTCATGAAAAAACCCAAAACACTCAATCAGGTATTAAAGTAATTTAATAATCAAATTTAATTTCAATAAGGTCAGCTATCATTTTTTGAATTTTTTTTTTGGATTTGTTTATAGAAATTAAATTAAAGAAGAAAGAAAACAGCAAGCACGCGTGACTCGTGAGCCTTTTCACCTTGCAAAGGATTTTATATATTTGTTTGAATTATCTGTTACCTTATTTTTGGAATTTAGTTCATAAGTCAAAATGAGTGATGCAAATTGATTTCAACTTCAAAGCGTACAAAGAAGTTGTAGATAACATGCACCCAACCCGTGTCATATCCTTGAATTTCAATACCTTTAGAAAAGACAACCACTTTTCCTAAATGTGAAATTTAATTACCTTTAGATCTGGCGTTTTATGTGTTGCACCAAAAGCCTAAGAATCCAAGGATCTCTTCCTTGAGATTAAACAAGTTTAATATTGTTAAGCGATGTGACTTAAGAGTTTGGATTGAAAACGAGTTTAGACAATTTCTCTTACGTTTTATGATTTTTAAATTATTTTTCTTGTTAGTATGACTTTTAAATTATTATTTTTGGTTATGGTATGACTTATCTATCTGTATATATGAAGGAAAATGTAAAACATTGTGAAACATTCAAATTACCGCAAAATGTCCTTAGTTAATGAAAATATTAACAAATGAAACTATTCATTAAATAAGAATAATATATTAAAAAAAATAAAAATGAAAATAGAAAATATGTTATATTTTTATAGGACACGACTAGACTCATTTTCTTATTCTTAATTTTAAAATTAAAAATAAATAAATAAACCAATTGAGCCAAGGGCTATAAGGGCCAAAGCCATAACAACTTTATTTTTCTGTGTTGCCCTAAACTTCACATGTATAATTCACGAGTTAAACTTTTTGTACCAAAACAAGAATGGATAAGCTTTTCTCTTTTGTTTTTGGCCATTAGGGAAAATCTATGCACAACTACAAAAGGCCGCATAAACACAAAAGACCAAAAGGAGTAAAAGACATGCGACGACTTGAGTAACGTCACGTCTCTCGTCTAAACCAAAATTAGAAAAGCAAAAAAAGGGACGCCCCCAATTTCAAATAATTAAGAGCCATGACATAGCCTAATCGTGAATGTGTGATTCAACAAAAAAGAAAAAAGGAAAAAGAAAAAGAAAAAAAAGAGGTGACATGGCCATGACACAGTCCAAGTCCTTTCGTCAAACTTTTTTTTATGGAGACTTGGGGACTCATGGTGCCGAACTTAGACTTACAAAAAAAACAAATTTATTTAATAATTTAATATTGCCAAATTGGCCAAACTATTCAAAATGCAACTTCCCATACAAACTATTGCCAAATTGGCTAAAGTATAAATACCATTCCAAGAGGACTTATAGTCCTAGAGAAACTGGGACACTTCAAGTTCACCAAGACGCCTACCTAAATGGAGTCCTAGTTCGACGAGGACTAGGTTGTTTTGGAGTCCTAGTTCGAGGAGGACTAGGTTATTCTAGAATTCTACTATGAGAAGGACTAGGTCGTCTAAGATGATATAAAAAGCTGAAGAGACCCTTCTTCAAAGGTATGCAATTCTAAACACCAAAATATATTGTGCACTTTGCTCCCAAACACTCGATTGACTTAAGCATCAGAGGGTCCTTAATCAGCACCACACTGGTGTCACCCATTATTAGGTCTTCTATTTTGTAGGTTCTGTAGGAGGCCTTGGTTGGTCACGCTGACTTGCTCTGGACGAATTGTCCGACCTCAATCTCAAAGAGGTCGTCTTGCTGTTGAACCAAATTTAGGCATAAACTAACATTATCTATTTTATCATGATTTAACCCTACTTGGGTTCACCTCCAAGACAAATATAATTTTATGTTAATGCCCAAAAGTGTTGGTCTCCGTTAACGGTTTGAGAAATCATATTAGAGTATGTGGGACTTCGTGTCTTTATCTCATCGAAATTTTGTCACTCCAACGAATTAATTTTTTTTTACCTATCGTATGATTAGTCATTTGATAAGAGAAATACAAAGAGAGACGTGTGTACAACATGTTATATTCCAACTCAAAAAGAATAAAATTACCATTAGTGCAATAATTGTGCATTTGGTTTTGGGTTTAGAAATCTACCATTACAAGAAAAAGGAAAGAGAAAAAAAAAACGTTAAGAAATTATTTTCTCTTCTCAATAATGCTACGGGCATCAACTAATATCTCAACTTATTGATACCAACTGATGAGAAATGCTATTACGCTAAAGTGTCTTCTTTTTTCATTTTATTTTTTGAAGATTTAAAGGTGTGAATATGTCCTTATCCAAACTTAATGCTACGTGAGAGCTTAATGAAGGCTCAAACTCCAGATCAAAATAAGTGTAGATTTTTATTATGTAAGATACATAGATGTTCCCTATCCATTCATGCATCCATCCATCCATCCATTCACCCATATCCAGAACACCCAAAATGGCCCACGGGACACGGAAGTCACTCTTCTTCCCACGCGCTCCCCACAGCGCCTAGTATACTCGCCTCATGCCCATAAACATACATGGTATTCACGTGGGTCTCCCCCACTAAACGACGACGCTTCCCCTCACCAGCAGCCATTAACTCCTCCTCCCTCCCCCATCTTCCATCCACAGTTCCAAAAATCTCACTCCTCTCTCTCTCTCTCTCTCTCTCTCTCTCTCTCTTAACACACAGAGCAACACTAAACAATCAAACGACTTGTCATAAACCCACCATGACCACCGCCACCACAATCAACGACTTGCCGGACGCCATACTCTCGACCATAATCGGGATAGTATCCGACACCCGAACACGGAACTCCCTCTCCCTCGCGTGCCGCAAATTCCGGAGCACGGAGAGGGCCACGCGCACCTCCCTCACACTCCGGGGAAACGCGCGCGACCTCCCCTACCTCCCGCTCTGCTTCGCCGCCGTCACGCACCTCGACCTCTCCCTCCCCTCTCCGTGGGGCCACTCTCTGCTCTTCCCCTCCGCCGCCGCAAACGACACCGACCCCCTCCTCCTGGCCCAACGCCTACGTGCCGCCTTCCCATTCGTGGACTCCCTCATCGTCTACTCCCGATCTCCCTCCACCGTCCAGATCGTCTCCCATCTGTGGCCCGGATTGCGCCGCGTCAAGCTTGTCCGATGGCATCAACGGCCACAATCGCCCCCTGGCGCCGACTTCGATCCTCTCTTCGACCAATGCCACTCGCTCTCCGAGCTCGACCTGTCGGAATTCTACTACTGGACGGAGGACCTCCCCCCGGTCCTCGAGGCCCACCCCAACGTGGCCCGATCTCTCACCAAGCTGGATCTCCTGACTACGTCGTTTACAGAGGGGTTCAGAGCGAACGAGATCAAATCCATCGTTACCGCCTGCCCGAAGCTCCAGCATCTCCTCATCGCGTGTATGTTCGATCCCCGATACATAGGCTTCGTCGGCGAGGAGGCTCTGCTGTCGATCTCCGCTAACTGCCCGGAGCTCAAAGTCATCCATTTGATCGATACGTCATCGTTGGCCAACGCCCGCGGCGATCCAAACGACGACGGATTTACGTCGGAGGACGCGCGGATTGGGCGCGCGGCTTTGGTTGATTTCTTCTCGGGGCTTCCGCTGTTGGAGGAGCTGGCGTTGGATGTGTGCAAGAACGTGAGAGACAGTGGGTTGGCGTTGGAAGTGCTTGGGTCGAAGTGTCCCAGGCTGAGGGCGCTCAAGCTTGGGCAGTTTCATGGGATTTGCTCTGCGATTGGGTCCGAGCTAGACGGCATTGCGTTGTGTTCAGGGCTGGAGTCGTTGTCGATCAAGAACTCGGCTGATTTGACGGATATGGGGTTGATTGAGATCGCTAGAGGGTGCTGCAAATTGGCCAAGTTTGAGGTTCAGGGATGTAAGGGAATCACGGTGAAGGGGCTGAGGACGATGGCTTGCTTGTTAAGGAAGACTCTGGTTGATGTTGGGATCTCTTGTTGCAAAAACTTGGATGCTGCTGCTTCTTTGCGGGCTTTGGAGCCAATTCGTGATCGGATTCAAAGGCTCCACATTGATTGCGTTTGGGAGCAGGAGGATGAGCATGCCCGCAATTTTGATCTCAATCAAGTGAATGATGATGAGGCTGAGGATGTTAATAGTGAAGCCAGTGTGTTGAATCGGAATGGGGAGGACGGTGATTACATGGACTTGAATTGGGCGGCTGAGTATGAGCACAGAAGCAGCAAGAAATGCAAGTTGGGGTTGGATGGGGACTGTTCCTATATGCCACCAAGCAATGGATATGGCTATGGCAATGGAAATGGGTTTTGGTGTGGTGAGAGCTGGGAGAGGTTGCATTATCTTTCGCTTTGGATTGGAGTTGGTGAGCTGCTGACTCCATTGCCAACGGCTGGTCTCGATGATTGTCCCAATCTGGAGGAGATTCGGATCCGGGTAGAAGGGGATTGCAGGGGAAGGCAGAGACCCACACAACGAGATTTTGGGTTGAGCTGCCTCGCCGGCTATCCTCTGCTGTCCAAGATGAAGTTGGATTGTGGTGATACAGTTGGCTATGCACTTACTGCACCTCCGGGGCAGATGGACCTGAGTCTTTGGGAGAGGTTCTTCCTGAGTGGGATTGAAAGCTTGAGCCTCAGTGAACTCGATTACTGGCCCCCGCAGGATCGGGATGTAAACCAGAGGAGTCTTTGGCTTCCGGCCGCTGGGTTGCTGTCAGAATGCCTGACATTGCGGAAGCTTTTCATCCATGGCACGGCACATGAGCATTTCATGATGTTCCTGGTGAGAATTCCAAACTTGAACCGCAACTTGAGGGATGTGCAGCTTAGGGAGGATTACTATCCGGCACCAGAAAACGAAATGAGTACAGAGATGAGGGTGGATTCGTGCCGTCGCTTTGAAGAAGCACTCAACAGGCGGCCTATCCTTGACTGAAGATGAAACTAATGTGATTATAAAAAATAAAAAAAGTTGCAAGAGGAATGTAAGAGTTCTGAACATCTTGTTCATCCCTGTTTTATCATTTTGAAATTTCCATCAAATAATACTTTCCTTTGTCATCGTTTTTCCTGCTGTTTATGGTTGCAGATAACAGAAGTAACAAGAATAAAAGCCAAAATCCGCTCAAGCTTGGGCAGTTTCATGGGATTTGCTCTGCGATTGGGTCCGAGCTAGACGGCATTGCGTTGTGTTCAGGGCTGGAGTCGTTGTCGATCAAGAACTCGGCTGATTTGACGGATATGGGGTTGATTGAGATCGCTAGAGGGTGCTGCAAATTGGCCAAGTTTGAGGTTCAGGGATGTAAGGGAATCACGGTGAAGGGGCTGAGGACGATGGCTTGCTTGTTAAGGAAGACTCTGGTTGATGTTGGGATCTCTTGTTGCAAAAACTTGGATGCTGCTGCTTCTTTGCGGGCTTTGGAGCCAATTCGTGATCGGATTCAAAGGCTCCACATTGATTGCGTTTGGGAGCAGGAGGATGAGCATGCCCGCAATTTTGATCTCAATCAAGTGAATGATGATGAGGCTGAGGATGTTAATAGTGAAGCCAGTGTGTTGAATCGGAATGGGGAGGACGGTGATTACATGGACTTGAATTGGGCGGCTGAGTATGAGCACAGAAGCAGCAAGAAATGCAAGTTGGGGTTGGATGGGGACTGTTCCTATATGCCACCAAGCAATGGATATGGCTATGGCAATGGAAATGGGTTTTGGTGTGGTGAGAGCTGGGAGAGGTTGCATTATCTTTCGCTTTGGATTGGAGTTGGTGAGCTGCTGACTCCATTGCCAACGGCTGGTCTCGATGATTGTCCCAATCTGGAGGAGATTCGGATCCGGGTAGAAGGGGATTGCAGGGGAAGGCAGAGACCCACACAACGAGATTTTGGGTTGAGCTGCCTCGCCGGCTATCCTCTGCTGTCCAAGATGAAGTTGGATTGTGGTGATACAGTTGGCTATGCACTTACTGCACCTCCGGGGCAGATGGACCTGAGTCTTTGGGAGAGGTTCTTCCTGAGTGGGATTGAAAGCTTGAGCCTCAGTGAACTCGATTACTGGCCCCCGCAGGATCGGGATGTAAACCAGAGGAGTCTTTGGCTTCCGGCCGCTGGGTTGCTGTCAGAATGCCTGACATTGCGGAAGCTTTTCATCCATGGCACGGCACATGAGCATTTCATGATGTTCCTGGTGAGAATTCCAAACTTGAACCGCAACTTGAGGGATGTGCAGCTTAGGGAGGATTACTATCCGGCACCAGAAAACGAAATGAGTACAGAGATGAGGGTGGATTCGTGCCGTCGCTTTGAAGAAGCACTCAACAGGCGGCCTATCCTTGACTGAAGATGAAACTAATGTGATTATAAAAAATAAAAAAAGTTGCAAGAGGAATGTAAGAGTTCTGAACATCTTGTTCATCCCTGTTTTATCATTTTGAAATTTCCATCAAATAATACTTTCCTTTGTCATCGTTTTTCCTGCTGTTTATGGTTGCAGATAACAGAAGTAACAAGAATAAAAGCCAAAATCCAAGCCTGTCAACAAACTAATTTGTTTTTTGATTGCACAAAAAAGTTGAGTCGCAGCAACATTGGAGGAAGATGCAAAACGGAGAACATAAAAAGGAAAAAAAACCAAATTTATGATTTTACAATGATTGAGAAATTGACAGCAGAATACAACCTTAAGCCGAGAATACAATGTAACACCTCTACCATGTTTTCTATACAAAAGAAACAAAGATTGTATCAGCAAAGTGAGTATTCGCAGTCTAACAAGCGGGAGAGTATCTCCTCACAGCTTGGCCGATCATCCGGTTCTGTCCAACAATCTGTAATAAAACCCAAAACAAAAGGCAAACGTGTCAAGCTTGGGAAGCCTGATAACGCATGAAAAATCATGAAAAAATGTATCAACTTCTTCACATTTTCATTAAGCTTAAGCAACTGCTCACCCGAAATAAGCCTGCCCAGTGGACCATCCGGAATTTCCAATCGGGAACCCTCATTGGCAACAGCATAAACTACCTGCATAGAAGAAAAGCTAAGAATTCAGTTACAGCCTTCTTAAAATGCTAGATGGTTGGATTCTACAAGGTACATATTCAGAACAAGAATGAAACGTTCCATATAAAATAAAAACAGATGATGTATACCCTCTCCGGTGGAACACCTTCCCACGGTCTATTTAGAGTGCAGAGCTCCCACATTATCACCCCAAGGCTGAAAATATCACATTTTTCGGTGAAGGGTTCATTTCGAATAAGTTCAGGTGCCATCCATTCTGGAGTTCCAGCAGAGGAGGAGTCCTTCATGTTTGTCTCGTTCATTATTCTTGAGAGCCCAAAATCACAGATCTTGACAGTCCAATGTTTATTCACGAGACAGTTCGCACTTTTTAAATCGCGGTGAACTATCTTCATCCGGTGCATGCACATCAACCCCCTTTAGTTGCAAACAAAAGACTCCAGTCACTACTTATCTATACCACTCACATAAAATAAAAATATAATAATAAATTGAGCAAATTTATCAAATGCTTTCACTTGAAAGTACAAGAGCCATGTGGATAATTATAATGATCATATATACAGATGTATGTTTAAATTATATGGAAATCTCACGAAACGCCAAATTCTCTTTGGCAAATATTACAGTCATGCTTTGAAATATGCCATTGGAGTTCATCCTATGGCAGTATCTTATACAGGATCTTCTGATTTTTTCAAATTCTACGAAGTTTCACTCAAATAGAGATGATAAAAGATCAATTTTTTTGGTGCCACTTTGTTAAACGTTTGGAGAAAAAAATTCCAGACCTCCGAAAGAGAAGTAAAGAATCATTTCAAGCATTAGCCAATGCAACATCTGATACCTTAATCAGACTGATAACATGTTAGATAATGACTAAAAAACTGTCAATTAGGTGCCTTAGAAAGATATAGAGCTAACGTTGTTCATCTTTTAGCAGCTTGTACGTCTGAATTTAGGTATTGAAAGCCAAAGATAAGTGGAAACACACGTCAGTTTATTTTTCAAGATTCAGATAACTTTATTATTATTATGTTTTAATGATTTCAAGATTCAGACAATAATAATGATGTTTTTCCTCTTTCCAGAATAAACACAGATATTAGATCTACAAACAGTCACCTCTAAAAAAGGTGTGTTGAAAAGATATTCAATTCACAGCAGTCAAGAACAAATAACAGGCAGGCCTGAGAGTGACCATAGATAGATCCACCTTCTATGAGAAATGACAAAGGTTAGCACTAAATCAACCTGAACCCTTGAGCTACCCATTTAGGATAGGTACATAAATCTTATTTCTAATCTCTTCTAACCATTTACTTAAAGCTCTTACATTTTCCCCTAACCAACCAGTAATCACCATGATCCCACTTTCAAACAGACACTGCACCAAGTTAGGCCCCCATCATGCATTAACACAGCTGGGTTTCACGGCACATGACCATAATAACTTCCATTCAACTGCTCATCTACGTCATTGTCTCATTTTCAATTTCAGTATATTTGATACTACTAACTTCCAAGCATGCATTTCACATAACCAGCACTTTAAATGTAGCATGGACGGTGTCATAGTAGTTATATGGAATTTATTGCAAATGACTGGTACATGTTGATCACAATACATTGAAAGCTTCGTGCTATTGCAATCTTAAAAGATCCATAATAAATTCTTCCATGCAGCCAAAAATAACTCAGATAAATTTATGCCCTATAAAGGTGTGAAATTAACTGGATTTTAGGAGTATTCTTGGAACAGAATGCATATTAGTAGAAGCCAAATGGTTTGCATAAATATCCATAGGTAGAGTGAACAGACCTGCATATGTCACGCAACATTTTCAGTCTCCTTCGCCAGGTAAGCTTCTTCTTCTGGCCACTTAAATGAATCAAATAATACAAGGATCCCATCTCCATGTATTCTGTAACCATTGATAAGTGTGGAGGCTTTGTGCATGCACCTAGAAATAAAATAACTGCAGACAATGGCAATTTGTATCAGTGTGGATCTAATATCTACTATATGACCATCTTATACAACAATCATAGATAAATGAAAATGGAATGCATAAATAACTAGAACATAAAGTACCATTTGGATGCCGAAGACGGCTGGAAACCCACATACAAAAGAAAATGAAAGAAAAAAAGCACATTAGAAAATTATATCATCAATCAAATTTATAAATATAAAAAAAAAAAAAAAAAAAATTGCAGCAAAGTGCCATAAACACAATACAAAAATCAAGGTATCTTTGAGAAATTACCTAAGAATGGATATCTCATTGCAGAAGTCTTCCATGTTTTCAGTAGTTAGATCTTGCTCTAAGAAAACCTTTATTGCAACATCTGTTCCATTCCAAACACCTCGAAAGACTTCTCCAAAGAACCCTAAATATGGAATGAACAACCAAAATTAGCAAAATCAGTTAACACTGTTCTTTAAAAAAAAAAAAATTATAACTGAAAATTTACTCTTTTCCTAAAAAAAGTGGAGCTTCTTTGTATATTCAATTTTTTTTTTTTCTGGTGGGAGTTTTGATCACAAAACCTTATGCATCTCAAGGATAAAATGGACATGTGGCATGTAAAAAACCAGCCTGAAGTTTCAGAGGCGTTCTCAGGCAATTACCATTGGTCTAAAGGGGCATACAAAACTCTAGAAGAGGACCAGAACTATTACTTTTTGTCAGACCTATCTTGTATTCTCCTAACTTATTCTCCTAATTGTCCACATTAGGAATAAATACTTAATCTCTTTACTAACCTGGTCCACACTTCTCAAGCCAACAATATAGTGATAGTGAAGTATTCTATGTACGATATTGAAGTGATTCTTACCAATTCCAACACGAGTTCCAACAGTCAATTCTGAGAAATCAATATTCCATTCCTGATAAGGCAATAGAGGTTTATTACCAGACGTGGCGGACTCAAGAATTCTGTTCCATGTTAAGACCAATTCATCATTTCTCGTGAATTCAGAAGGTCCAATTCTCTCAGACGTTTGACTCCTATATTGATGTGGTGATGAAGGTAACGATATTGCTTTTTGAGAACTGATTTGGTCCTGGGGAAACAAACATAAAGCAGTCTTCAATCATAAGCTGACATTGTAAGCTTCATAATAAGTTTCTTAAATAAAAACTAACAATGTTCTAATGACTCTTCCTAAATCTCTTAAAGAGTACAAGGACAATTGAAAAACAAAAAACAAAAAAATAAAATAAGCACAAAATTGTTAATATCTGATGAGCGAAAATCATCTATCCAACCTGCATAGTGGAATTTTAGAATGAAAATTAGAATTATCTTGTAATAGTGGAATTTAATTAATTTTTGTTGCCTATTGTATGTAATTCTCACATTCTCCTAGGGTTGGGAGGGTAGTCAACCAAAGTTGTTGGTCAGATATTTCTTATTTTCAGTAACAGTCCATTTCATATTTTCTCTGGTTTATATTCATTATCAATTTTTTTTTCTTATCCCATCACCAAGTTTGCATTGAATTAATGTTACACTTGTTATAAATTGCAAGCATGTTTCCCCGTAAGATTGATCAGGCATGTATTAATTTTGTTCCCTTTAGGCTTTAAGCAACATTCATTAGTTTAATAACCAACAGTAGACAGGGAAACGAGACTAGAACACTAATCACGAAAGGGGTTATTACATACACTAATGAGATAAACATCCAGGAGTATTTGTGCACTGGATGTGGAGGTAATGTAAAAGTTCACAAGTAGGTTACGTATGAGTAGAGGGGATCACAATGCAAGACACTGCAACTGAATTTGTTGGATGCAAGATCAAACTCAGTCAAAAATGCCAAGCATCTAATGACAGAGAAACAAGCTGTCATTCTAATATGTATATATTCTTCTCCTATGTGGACGCCATTGTAAACAGGGAGGAAAGCAGGGAATAGTAGAAAATACATGGCGTCCGCACGGTAATAACATCCGGACGTCTGCATTGAAATTCAATGATCTAAACTGTCTATTTTATAGGTATTCCTACAACTCCTCCTTGCTTTCCTCCTTGTTTACAATGGCGTCCACATGGTAATAACGTTCGTACATCTACATTGAAATTCAATGATCTGAACGGTCTATTTTATAGGTATTCCTTCAAAGATCATCTCTTCATTGTTTTCGATTTGGCTAATTTTTTTACAAGGATGATCTATGAATGAAGACTTGAAAAATATATGGGTGTGTGTGTGTGTGCGTGCACGTGAGAATAGAATTCCAAAATTACAGTGTTTCACAATGACTATTTATATACAGAATTTTAAGCTACCTAAAAGCATAGTAAAGATGCTACAGAAACAAAACTAACAAACAAATTAACAAACATTTATTTCATGCAGACATGGTTCCACTACTGCAATAAAAACACGTACATTTTTCTGAAGACCAGAAGTAATGTTTCTGTCATCATCACCCTGCTCTCTCAAAAGACGATTTTGCTTCAATGTTTCATTCATTGCTCGTACAGCCCTAATATAGTTCAATAGATCACCAGTTACTGATTATAGAAACATATCCAAAGATATGATAAAATAAAACTTAAAAAGAATCAAGAAAACATAAGCCTTAAGAAAGAAAAAAAGATTAGCACATCATATACCAAGTGTACAAAAACCTCAACAGTCCCAGCAAACTGAAGTAGTCAACTCACCATTCAAACAATATTCTTTTTAGTTCAACAATTAACCCAAGTGAAAAACTGAAAATACAAACAAGTGCAAACTAGCCTAACTAATATGGTCCAAGGGTTGTACTGGTTTGAAAATATCCATCAGATTCTGGCATAATTCTCTATCCAGAGCTTATGAATGTCTCCATCACTAGAGGCCAAATTGGCTAGATATCAGGTTTACAAGGAACTTGGCTTAAGAATGAAATTTGGCCACTGACTAGTCCATATTGGTTAAGCAGCACATAAGTGTACTAGTTTTGGAATCGTATCACTTCAAGGTTTTGTAAATAATCTTCATGATAGATTTCGAGGTTTTGTAAATAACCTTCATGATTAAAAAAAAATTCTTTTGATAGGAAATGAGAATTTTGTAGAAAGGTAAAAATAATGTATAAATGGGAATGGAAGTTCAAACTACAAGCAAAGTCATACTAAACCTAACTAACATTATGATTTTGACCAAAAAGAAAAAACCTAACTAACTAGAGAAAAACAAGCACCACTTAGTCCAAAATACCAGACCAGTGAAGATGGATCACCCTAAAGAGTACATGTAAAACAAGTTATAGTGAAGAAAAAGTAGGCATGCTTGCTGTGGTGCTGCAATTGATTTGCTACCATTTAGCTCTAGGTACTCTAAATTTTGCATCATTATCCCAAAATTTCTTTTACTTAATCCATGTTAGATAATTGTCAATCCCTCTTACTAACCATATTCAATCCATTTCTGTCAAGAGTAATACAGACACCCCCTTCCCCCCGCCCCCGTCTGTCTTTATATCGCAGGACAAGATATAATTTGATACCACTCAGAAAACTTAAAACTATCCTCACCACAAAGGTCAAAAGCCCTTGAGCCTATAAGGCTATGTGACACAATCTTTTGTATTAGAAAACTATATATTCTTGACAGATTGATTCCCATGGCTGCACATGCTCCTAGAGATGAATCCACTAACACTAAGTGATATAATACACTAGATGAGGAAGTATGAACTATAAAATGAGATATTTTTCTTCAGGGAATAAAAATGAACCACATCATTTGCCTCATGGCAATTTCCCATGTGATGTAGGGCACGGGTGAATTGTAGATTTAGGTAGTTTAGCGGAAGCGAAAACAATGGAAAACAGAATATAGAAGGAACAAGGATAGGTCTGGAATCACTCCAGGGTTTTGGCTTCGCACCAAGGGGTTTGGCTTCACACCAAAGAAGTTCCAATCTCTGGAAAATAAACTTTTCTTTATATCTCAACAACTCCACTCTAAAGAACTACATGGAGGTTAGGGTATTTATAGCAAACTAAAACCTAGAGACAATAGGATAAAAATCCCTTACTAAAACAGAAATCCTAATCCACCAAGGAACTAATTCAAATAAACTAGGAAACTTAAATCAAATCCTACTAGAATCTGGAAACTAAAATCCATGTGAAATCTGGAAAACTAGAGAATCTAGGAAACTAACTAACGATGTCCGCATCACCATGGCTCCTCACATGAGCAAACTATGATAGCAAAGCACTTCAGATTATCAGAGATCAATGCCCATTTTACTGGTCAATTAATGAAGCTGAGATTATTTTTTTATTTCCAGCTCTGAGAACACTCTCGTTGGCTTTTGTCCTCCTATTACAATTTCATTGAATCCTGGGACCTCTTTCTGATATAACTTTCAGATACTTTCAACAAATACTTACCTCTAATATAAGAACATGCACTGTAAAGACATTGATCCAAACAATCAAAATCAAATGGAAGGTGCAAAGAACAAAAAATTCAAAGAGAAAAAGTTTATTAAGCACAATTTTTTATATAAAAAAGTAACCAATAAGAACGAATGAATGCAAAAGTACATGGAGGAAAACATCAGTTTAACCACAATGGAGTAATGCTGTGAAATTAACAATTCATAATGAAGCAAACATTTCTCTTGAAAATAATGAAACAAACATCAACCTTACGATATCATCACCAATCTCTGGAGTAATACTAATGCTTCTTCTTCTTAATCTACGAGCTTCTGATGTTGATGTACCATCTGACCTGTAGCTACAATAAAGAATCGAAGACAAGTAGTTTCAGACCACAGATATATATTTCTTTAAGGATGTGTAGATTGACCTGTGAAAGAAACATCACATACAAGCTAAAACAAAATTAATAACACACAAAAGTACACAAATACAAAATTTCATCAGACCATAACATCAAACCTCTTAGGAATGAAACTAGCTCAGCACATTATACTTCTACATCAATTAGTTATCTCCAAATGATCTAAGTACGGTTGATGAAGATTAAAGTTTAATGGTATTGAGTAGAAGAGACAATGAGTGGAATATAATAACATTTTAACAAGATAACACAGAAAATATATCTAATGCATGTTGATAGAATGAAGTCTATTCCAATGTTTTTCATTTTTCATCTGCATAGAACTGAAACCCTCAAGTCACGGAGGGATCAATTTTGCATTCTCCCGGTCTTTCTCTGACTAACTGAATGAACAAGGGATAGTTTTTGGGCCCCAAGCTTGGTTTGATTTAGTGATTATGTCACGTCAGTTAAGCGAACATGGTCAAAAACCACATAAAATTGCCCTGGGCATTGTCATTCCCAGGATACAACTCCATTCCCAATCTTGTAAACATGAAAATATTGAGGTCCTCAATACTGTTCATTGGTTAAGGAATAAGACCTGAATTAATATCCATTGCCTCAGTACACAAGAAAATTGTGGATAATTCACTAAAGCATTCATCAAAGATTCAGTTTTCATATAGTGGGGTACAATAGGATCAGTAGATATAAAACCTTGAGGTAGGCATGTCATCAGCATAATCTCTAAAAGATTTCCTATCACCACTGAGCATGGACCGGCCACGTGCTCGAAATGAAGGATGCTCTGGACTGAAACCAAAAAAGATAAAAAGAAATAACTACAACGACACGACTTAAAGAGTAAAAAGCGATTCTGGACCAACTTTAGACATCCTACCCAGCAAATTAAGCACAAAATCATGGCAAATCATGGAGACCAGATAAATGAAAAAAAATATACATCTGAGCAGAAAATTGAAGTTTGAGGAAAAAGTGCAAGCATTTCTATAAGCGGGCATGTTATTTATATGGCAAAAGAAAAAGAAGCTAAATCTTTTTTCTCAAGAATAGCATCAATATACCTGGAAAATTGGAAACTGTCACCATTGATATAGACCATGTACTTCACCAAGAACTCAGTATCTTATTGGCATTATTGGGAGATTAAGAGAAAATATGGCACCATATATATGTGTATTGATTGAATCTTAAATTTATAGTCACAAAATTTTACTTTTACAGCCTCGATAATCTAGGTCACTAATAAATTTGGACACATCGTGTGACCACCAAGAAAACTTACTTTTATACTGGACTAACTCTCATCCCATGCTTTAAGACAGTGGATTAGTGTAAACTAAGAAAAAGGATAATCGTACAGATAACCGTTCAAGAAACCCTAGTAAGGAACTGACCTGAAGCAACCACAAAAGTTTATCTCATCAAACCCGTCATTACTACTTACAACGTCCACAACACTATGCCAAATTCAGTCACCTATATTTTAGGGTCACTGCTTTTCCATCAGCCGAAATAAAATATCCTTTCACTATTGCAGCATTCATTTATAACCATAATAAGATACTGAATCTGCATTTACTCACCTGTCCATTAACTAATAGTGTTGAACAATGAATGATTAAAAAAAAATACAAACAGGTTGAGAATACAATTCAGCAACCATACCCAAGAAAAACTAAATTATCAAAGTAATTCAGATGTTAGGGCATATCAGGGTCAAATTTTGCCGATCCTTTTCCTCTAAACATATCATGGTTTGGATCAAAATATCATAGAGAAATTGGTACACACAGCATTCTTTTTTAGTGGTTGTTAGTATTATTGTCATCTATCCAGAGGAACAAGCCCAGAAGCATGCCGGACATGCACACACACAAACACTCCATTTGGCATAAGTAATTTGAAAAATCAATATCTAGCTCCAGGTCAAATTACCTTGAACATTTTTACAAATTTAATACCATTAAGAAGCAATTTACGAACATTATTCCACGTTCTTACAATAAGCCATCTGTAAAGAAGAGACCAGACCAAAAAAGTCCTGAAATACTTGAGAGGTGCAAACCATATAATTTCTGCTAACGACAGGACAAATTTTTGAGAGGGAGAGAGGGAGAGATAGATAGATAGATAGATAGAGGTTAAACCTGCAAAACTTTGTTATCTTCAGAAAAAGAAAACCGAGCAGCAGGAACAAAAGTTTATCACTGCACTTTATTTAATACATATAGAAACTCTACAGCAGAATTCCTGGAGAACCAGGTTGAGCTTATTGTCAAACTAGCTTATATAATTTCAATTTTTTCCCATCCCTCCCACAAGACACTTCTTCAGTAGTATCATTTTCAAATGAAAATAAAACTGTAAAACAAACTTAATCCTATTATCCAACCTAAACTGAAGTACGTAAGAAAGCCATCTCTCCCTTGGGATTGAAAAGCAATCAGGATAAAACAGAGGCACAAAATTTGGTCTCCATAGCCACCATAGAGAGATGCAGAAACATAAGCTATTGAAAAAGGAAGAAAAATTAAAAGAAAGAGAAACTGATCCTTTAACACCACATACCATATATCTTTGAAGCCTATAACCTCACAATGTAAACTAAGGATAGGTTAGTATAACAAGCAACCACTCAATTCACCATCAATAGATAAACCCATATGGTCTTAAAACTTAGTCATACGCATTCAAGCAATTAAATAAAAGTTAGAACTACATTTTGAACAAAGCTCCTCAGATATCAAGCTCTCAAAAAATTAGATGTGCGCACAAAAACAACTCAGTAGAATCAAGTTCCTACTAGACCAACTGTCACCAAACCATGCAGTGGAAAAAAAAAAAAATCAAAGTCTATTCAAAAGTAAAACTGGAGGTACTATGATTCTAGACGCACACCAAAACATGATCTATGATCATGAACAATAGGGAGTTCTGAATCTTCAAAACAAACAAAACTGAATCTGAAAGACATTATTACAAAACACATTGGGATTAAGAAGAACCTTGAACTAGCAGTCCGCTGTTCAGCAATGGCCTTTCTTCGACTACGGCGCCAAAATGAAGTTGCAATGTTGGGTTCACTATGTGATAAACTGATGGATTCAAAAAGTTATTCAATAACAAATAACTCAGAGTCTCCCGAACTTTCAAAAAATCCAGAAAATGCCCAATAATAGGATGAAGTTAATGAGAAGAATAATTATAATAATAAAAAAAGCGTACAGAATGGGAAGGTCATAACAAGTCATTCAAGAATTACAGTTGAACTTGTCAAGACAGGAAATATAAATTACCTCAGTTTTCTTTCAATGGAAGTGATAGGTCGCAACATCATATTTCGCAATGAAGGACCTTGTACATTTGAGGGCACATCAAATCTCCCTCGGAACTGAAGGCTCTCATCTCTTTCAGCACTGCAACAGAAGAAATTTAAATTAACTCAGTTTTCTTTGTAATGCATGCTTGCAACAAGAACATGAAGCATCACAGGTTCCAAATTTCCAAGTTCAATAAACATGTAGGATTTACAAACCCCATCAGCTAACCTGTCAGGATCCATTCTCTCTGAAAATCCATATAGGGGACTGTTTGGTTCTAGTGGTGAATCACAGGAATCATTTTCTGCAGAATCACTCTCCCCTGCAGCAGAAATATGGGTCATAAAGATTGCCTTGGTTGATCGGGGTAACAGCTTGCCGGGGATCCGCATTAGGTCGACCAATAGTTCAACAGAGTTCAACACAACTATCACAGACATATGCTTATATGAATCTACACACTCAACAGCCCCATCAATAGAAAGACCCTGATAGAAAAGAAAAAAAAGGAGGAAAAGAGACAGCCTTTCAAATTTCAGTGCTACGTGTGATTAAGGAGTAATAACTTATAACATGTCTTTGACAATTTCCTTATTCTTTTGCTGGAAATCGTACAATGTCCATGGAAACGAAAAGCTTACCACCACTAGCCTACTTTCAAGACCTACGGTATCTGCTAGAACTTTGAACAGGATTGCTCTAGGACGGCATGAACCATGCTTTATTTGCCCCAAAAGTTGGACTCCTCGATTATCAAACATGTGGGAGGTTTCTTCTAGTGCAGCTTTTGCTGGACTTTCCACAGGTGGCCGCTTATAAAAATCTGAAACCTGTATAGGCATTGCAGTCGAAGTTAAATCATCTCTTAATAACAATAATTTAAACATGTATTAAAGCATCGGACCAGAATCAGGTAACAGATCTACATGGCATCATGCTCATGACTCATCTTGGTTATGATCACAGAAACATGAAAAGTACAACATTGTAAGTGGCAGTCTTTGACAGTTGAAAACACTGGACGAAAGGCATCAAAGAAGCAAACAGAAAAAATAAGTGCACCCCAGGTAACTTCAAAGTACATCTAGAAAAACAAGTAAATTTCTCACCAGTCCAGCAATCTTTTTTATCATTGCAGCTGGATTGGAGTTCAATCCTTTCACTAGTGCCACAATCAGTTGCTTCAGCATGGACAACTTTTTGTCTTTTGAAGTATCTACAAGAATGACATCAGCTTTCACACCCTCTGCCTCAATTGTATGAAGTTCATCAAGAGTAGGAATATCATCAAAGATCTCCTTGAGCCTTTTATCCTGTATATTGTCAGATTTATTCAATTGACACGATGAAGTATCACTCATAGACGGGTTAAAAGGAAAAAATATAAGCAAAGACAATAATAATTTAAACAATGCTTCACTTATCTGCATTTGTACATCTATTCTTTGAACAAGCAAGTGATCCACATTAGGTGCTTATCGTTTTTAGGATAGTAAAAAAAAAAAAAAAAAACAATCTGACTGTTTTCTCAAAATTGTTTAAAGAAGGAAAGAAAAACAAGGGTGCCCCAGTTTCTTGACAGCGACATTCATCTCTTAGACACACAGGTTCCAACCATAATCAGGCAAGATGTGACAGGAAGCAACAGTAACAACAGCTATTAATTATCAACACTAAGAAAATAACAACTAAGTACCACCAACAATTAATTCTCACCGGAATGACAGAATAGAAACCATTGGGAATCGGTTCTAAAAGCATTCCAGTTTGCCATAGAACTTGTGATGCTGTCTGAGATGACAACACATCTTGGTACGGACTTCTAGGTGATTCAGTATTACTCAAGGTTTCTTCATGGGAACCCAAAGAAACAGATCCAAATTTGTCCACGAAATCTGAAGGCCACCATGAAGCATTTGGAGGCCCTTGCTCTGCTGGCCCTGCATCATCTCGTGTCTCCTCCATGTATTTAAATATCTGAAATTCAAAACCATTTCTCCCCCACTTCTTACCCCATAAAAGATGTCTTCAACCTAACAGCATTCCTTACAAAACACAATTCCACCGATTTCTTCAGGCTGGAGGCCATAAGACCTGAAAAATAGACAAAAGGTCAAAATTTGACATCCAAGAAAAGACAATTTAGAAGGGGACTATCATTGACCACTATAGAAAGGCAGGACAGTCTTCTGAAAATAACACCAAAGTAGAGCAGAATAACCAAGAAATCCCGTTGAAGTAAGAGTTTATCAAAAGTACGTAAAAGTGAAAACCCTTTAAAGGAAAAATATATTGCCCTGAATATGGTATAATAAAAGTAAAGGGGAACAACACATAACAGCTAAAACAAAGGATAAGTAATCTTCAAACCCATCGTTCAGTCTTGCCCTCCTTACAAATATAGTTGGTGAATCAACAAAGATATTAGACATCTCTTTGAAATTAAACTGCTTGATATCACTTTTAAAAAGAAAAATGCGAAACAAAACAACTAGACAGCTTTCTCTAAATTATGTCTCATGATATTTGTATTGCTCCATCGATCACCAAAGACATTATGGCTTTCTTTATGAATTAATGATTATACATTTGTTAATTAAAACAACAAATAAAGGAAAAGAGTAATGTATTTGAGGAGAAAAGGACCTTTGTGTCAGGCATAAGACTTTACATGTTATAAAACATTCTTCTTACAATATTATCTGTTTTGCATTCTTGTTTTCTTTTTTTTGAGCTTCATATCCTGTCTTTCAGTGGAACTTGATAAGGAAATGTGTAATGTATTTTATTTCGAACAAGTTCAAAGGATATGTAATTTACCTTCCTATAGATGGTTATAGTACAATTTAAATGATGCATGGCTGTTAGAATGACATTGTTCTGTCCTCTATATGTACTCTTATTTATATGTCCTTGCTGCTCACACACCTCGAAAACATCAGAGATTAAAACAATTTGGAAAACTTGTTTACATGAGAGAAGTGTTGACAGTTGGGGGAGCTAATGGAATGAGATAACATGGAAATATAGTAGAAAGCTGATGAGCTATAATGGGGTTTTCATTTTAAATTGGCAAATTTGCCTTAAATAGGCAGTGTATCATGGGGTTTTCATTTTATTTTTAAGTTTCCATGCTTCTTTACACTATTTATGGACATCCAATATGACAACCAGCCATACAGGAAAGTTCAGTTTTATAATTTCCTATTCAAGTAACTATTCTATCACCTAATATTTTAGCAAATATGGGAAGTACCAAAGTGACCCCGACTCTTGAGGAATACACGAGTGAAAATAACCAACCAATAGCACATTCCAAACATACCTTCTAGGTTTTTTATTTTCTTTGGTCAAACACACATTCTAGGGTTAAGCATCAATGAAACTGAAAGCAATATGCATCACTAAACACTTTATTAAGTCACACCCACTCGAAAGTAATACACTAGAGTGCAACTGAAACCTCATTCATGTATCAATAGCAAAAGATAATCCCCTCAGTTGTAGACATTCATAGCATAACGATGCTTTTTTCCTTTTTCTGTACCTCATGTCCTGCCCATTGCCACCAAACAAGTGCATACTGAGAGACAAAAATATCACGAGAAACCCATGTCATGCTCGCAAAGCCAACCTTATAACTGCCTCCTCAAAAACAGTTTTCTTCTTACATCCCAACCCACAAAACCTCAGCACACAAACACTTAGATTGTTTTTGTCAGCACCACTCACTATTAAGTAAAGACCTTTCTGATCACCACCATATCCACAAACTTCAACCAAGATCCCTCCCCAAAAAGAAAAGATAAAGAACCTACAATCTCAAGCTTAGTCTACCACCTGCTCCAAATTCATATCACATGAAGAGGTAAGTTTACGCATTGGACCACTTCAGAAATAGCTAATTACACAATGCTCCTCCTTAGTCACTTCAAATCGCCAATACAGTTACACTTGAGTCCCACATTTCTATGCAAATCTAAATCAAGCTCCCACTAATCCAAGAAAACTCAATTCCACATCGCACATACACTTAAATTAACCATTTTCATAAAACCAATGCAGGATCAATAAAAACAAGAAAAATTACAACAAAATTAAAAACAAAGCAAAAATTTACCACCAGCAGATCCAAGCATTTGAATTCCAATCCCCTTTTTGTTGCAATAACATTTGAATCTCAATTCTTCCTCATCTAAAGCCTCATCCCCTACGTCAAACCCTCGCAGATTCCCAGAGAGAAACAACCAAATTTGTGTATCTATATAGACGTATACAAATACGTACACATAGAGAGAGAGGACGACAGAGAGTGATGTGAGAGAGATGAAATATGGTAGAGAAACCTCTCCGCGCTATATATAGAGAGAGAGAGAAAGAGAGAGAGAGAGTACGAGTGCGTGATGCAAACGAGGAAGAAATGAACGAGAGCGAACGAGAGCGCGAGAGAGAGAGAGAGAGAGGAAAGCGATGGGGTTTTAGAGAGAGAGTGTGCGTGTGAGGTGGTAAGTCACGTGCAGAGCGAGGGGGGATCTGGGGACCTCTCCCCGACAGCCAGCTGGCAGAGAAGGTGGCTCACCAACATCCACACACCATCATCCGCGTGAAACACCCTTTTCTCGTTTAAATCTCTAATCTTTCACAAATTAATATTGAAAAATAAGAATTCAAACCAATTAATTATTTAATTAATGCAGAGAAAGAAATAATAATAATAAATAAATAAAAGTAAGTGTGAAAGTAGTACAAGATGTAAATGGACAAACAACAACCACAACCAAACACCACCACCTGTCTTTTAGTACCAAGAGTACACCTTTGGTGGACCAAATCAGTCAATACAATAGCCCCATGGGGCTTTTAGCCTATGCTTGCTTAGCCTAACTTCAAACTTCAAACTTCAATCTTCAATCTTCTAGGTCTTTTCCCACGTGCTTCAAACTTCAAACTTCAATCTTCTAGGTCTTTTCCCACGTGCCTTTTTTTTATTAGGTCAAGTTGGTGATGATATTCAACTATCTTAGTCTCTGTTGCTAGTCTTGCAAATTTGTAACTCTCTCTACTTTGATATTTATTCTCCTACCACCGGTGACAAAGCTAGCTCTAAGTTCACCCATCATTGTCCAAATCCTTTTACCGACTATATTTTATATGTTAATCAATACATATATAAAGACTTTTACCTCTCATCACTACTAGCATATAGATGCAGTGTTCAGATCGTAGCAACATGGTTGATTCGTTGCCTACGATGTTGGGAGAAGTCAACTAAACTTTAACATTAAGAGAAAGGAGAACTCGTAACAAGGTAAACTTGCGGAAGGTCCATTGTCAAAACTTGCCTAATAAAATAACCCAAACCATTTTTAGCGTAAGCAACTATCAATTGTTGATACATTATGCACGAGTAAATGTTACACATAGCATTCATGCATGTGGTACGTAGACAAATTTCGCGCGTAGTGTTGTGCTTGAGCAAATATCAAATGTTGATATATATAATGAGAATCTGTATTGTGGAGTTCATGAACATTAATAACTGTTAGTTGACAATTGTTTGCATGTTTATTAGCTCTCACCTATATGTAAATTTTCGTATTAGTTAATTTTGTATTAATTGTGGTGTGAATGTGTGACAATTTTGGTATTAATGAATTGTTTTCTTATTAAAAGATCTTCTTATCATTTTAAATGAGGTTTAACAATTGATTTGGCAACGTTCATGGGCTTGGCAACCGATGAATGTTCCTACTCTGAATATCTTTCATCTGAAATTTCTTCAGGCTAAGGGGCCAGTCTTGATCTCTCCTTCTTGTCAATTGGGGTTCTGGATCAAGAAACTAAGAGATGGCTTTTGATGTTCCATGGTAGCTCTTATTTACTTTGTGTTGCTTATGTGGTTTGCTCGTTTTTGTGTTTCATTGGTTAGGCCCATTTCATGTTGAACAATTCTCGCGCTGTACAAAAGACTATATTTACATAGGAGGCCTTCTTTGACAGAACTTGAGAGGCGTTGGTGTGCTCTTTCGATGAGCTTCTCTTAGCTTCAGTTTGTTATTTGTGTTTTGTTCATGTGGTTTGTTCGTTTGGTGCTCTATTGGTTATGACCCATTGCATGTTGGACAAATCTCGCAATGTACAAAGGACTATGTTTATATAGGATGCCTTCTTTGACAAAACCTGGGAGGTGTTGGTGTACTCTTTCGATGGGTTTCTCTTAGTTTATGTGTGTTGGTATGGTAGAGTTGTTTTAGAAGTGATTATTCTGTGTTTGTGCTTTTGTCTGGACTCTTTTGTTAGTCTAGTGCATGTGTGGTACTCTTTCCTTGCTCAGGGTTTTCCTATGCGGTTTTCCTCATAAGGGTTTAATGAGGGCACTGTTAACATGTCATTTCCTTTGTATTGTTCTTGGGATATTAATGGCATTTATCTTCCTTTTAAAAATAATAATAATAATTGGCTTATTCGTTATTGTGAGATAATTCAATTTTGATAGTTTAGAACTATTGATAATGAGATAGAAATAAATGATGTGGCAAAAGACATACACTGCCATGTCATGTGGCACATAAATTAGTATATCAAAATATTGGTGAACTAGTTGGTATTTGCATCATTACTGATTAGTTTATTTTTTATCATGGGATAACTCAAATTTGATAGATTGGGTTATTGATAATGAAATATGCCAAATGAAGATTAGATTTGACATGTGAATGGATGAATGTGTTATAGTACATGGAGAAGATTTGGCTTGAGTAAATGTCAACTGATAGCCTCAGCCTAACTTCAAACTTTTAAGGAAATTCCCTTTGAGCTTTTAGGTTAACCTATCTAAAGTTTAATAAATAGCTTCAATCCAAATTTCAAGTGGTACTTAATTCCATTATTTTCTCTTTGTTTACTTCTCCTTTCACCTTAAAAAAAACGCACATTGTGATAATGAGTACTCTAGGGAAAACTAAGCTATAATGTCTTGAAGGAGGTATTATGCAGACCTTGAAACCTAAGTAATGGTATGGATGCGACTCTTATAACAAGCCTTTGAGTGTCTTCATTAATTTTCAATGTAAGAACACTTCATTTAGTTAGAAAGCTAACATTATTTGGGCAATTGTGACAAACTCATATTCAAGGGCGGAGTTAGAAATTTATACAGGACTGGCTATATTTTCTTTCATTCTGTATAACTTGTATAAGGAGTTGTTCAGTTGTAGTGGACCAATTTTGCAAGGGTGAGGTAGGCTAATTTTCATTTGGTAAAATGAATTTCCTAAAAATTACCACCAAATTGTTTCCAAAAACTTAGTCTAAGAGTGAATACGTCCTTGCCCATATTGAATGTACTTATTGTAAGCACTTTAAATCGAATACCCAAGTTCATAAATAGTTCAAATTGTTTGATTTCTATAATAATCCAAGAAAACTATTTAATTTTCTTTTAAAGACAAATTAGATAAATTGTGTGTTGTATGTTTGTTTGAGAGGAAGAGAGAAAGAGGGGAGTGGTGGCTTGAATGAAATTGAAGAGATTGGTTATCCAGTTATTTTTTAATTATAGTTTAGCAAATGGAAAAGTTTACTTTAAAATGGCTATTAGTTTCATGCTTAAAAAAATATTTTCCTTATATACTTAAATACGATAACAGTAATTTTAATTGAAAATGAAAATATTTAAGGTTTTCTACTACTCCAAAAGTTTACCAAGTTTCAACCTTTACTACGCAAATGTATTTTTTTTTGCTTTTTTGTCAACTTTATACTCGAAGTTTGATTTTTCTACCAATTTCATGCATTCATTAGTCTCTTCGTCAAGAAGTTTGTTAACCATTGACATAGTAGTAGATGAGCCATCAAATTATACAAAAATAATTATTAAAAATTATAAACATTTTAAAATAAAATAAAAAATCTATCTCCATATTTGTCTCATGAGCTACGAGCCAAATGATGATCTCTAACTTCACGATATTGTTCCAAAGCTTCTCAACTAATCAATCTTTTTCTTATTTAGCACAAATAAGTAGAGGACATCTTCTCAATTTTCACATATTATTGATTTATGGTCATTTTAAGTTGATCATAGTAAATGATGTTTGTGTGGTTGTAGCCAATGTCACAATATGTGAATTTTTCTTTGAGTAAATTTAAGCAGTTATGCAAATTAAATATCAAAATCCCGAGTTGTTCTTTAGAGATCACACTTTTGTTTCATAGGTATTGAGCTACATACTCCCATGACTAAGAGGGAAAGTGTGAAGTGATAGGCAGTATAGTAGGTATGAAGGGAATTTGGATATTGATATACATTTTGTCCTACTTAATTTTATATTTTTATGCATGGGATGTTATATGATGGAGAGAGAAACACTGAGGGAGAGTGAATCACTTGGGGAGAGTGATGCAGCTGGGCATGGTGTTCATGGGAATGAGAGGTTAGGCATTAGGGATGGCAACGGGTCGGTTAGGGGCCGAGTATGACAATACCAGCCCCATCCCCGGCCTCATCCCCGGTTTTTCATTTTCGGGGAATCCCCGTCCCCATAAGGGGATTAAGTCCCAAACCAGGCCCAAAATACCCGAAATTTTTTTATATAAAAAAAATTAAACAGTCCATATTACACTTCAATTTCACCTTAAACTATCATTCAACACAATTAAAATCAATTGAACTATAATATTTCACTCAACTACTCAAAATCATATCAAATCAGTTTGACAAGACTAATAAAATCATATAATAATAAAAAGTCAAAAGCTTCACCATCCAACAAAGTTTATAATCCAACTCATTCATCATCAAAAGAGAAACAACAAAAAGTTCATCCCAATCTCACAAAAACAAATGATTCCACAACATAGTTTAAAGTAAGCACAAACACATCCAAATCTACAACTAGAAAACCAATCACAAATAAATATGAAAAACAAACTACACTTTCATAAAATGAAATCCCCCAGACTCATGTGCTTCTTTATTCTTAGCTTCAATCGAAAAACAAAGACATGTTCTATGTTTCAATAGTAGACTCCTAACAAAAAAGAAAACATAAGAGAAAGATATTATTTTTTTTAAAAGATAATTAGAAGCTAATGATTAAATAAGAGAAAGCCATAAAAAAGAGCGATTAATATGAGAATGTTACCTCTTCCTTATTGTTATCAACCTCCTCATCTTGAACAGTGATTTTTTAGCTTCATTATCATTAGAGCTTGAAGCTAACCATATAACCAAAAAAAAGAAAAAAAAAAGGCAAATACTAATAATTTTTTTTTTATACTTAAATTGAAAATTATAACCACAAAAATATTTCAATACATTTAATTGCACTCCATAACCAATCACAAGCACACATCAATGCCTCCATTATTTTTGAATGAAGTCAGTTGTAGTGTGTGGACTTATAATCCTTCCACTTGTACTAAAGCAAGA